GGCTGCTGGCCATCGCTCTCACCATGTACCCCATGCGCATCGACGAGAGCATCCACACACAGCTGCGCGAGAAATACGGAGACAAGATGCTCCGCATGCAGAAAGGGTGAGAACACACACACACACACAGACGCACACATTATACATTGAAGTTATATATGTATGTACTACCATGGTAAGATATATTTTATGTTTTTGAAATAAGTCTCTTCTGCTCACCAAGGCTACATTTATTTGAAGAAAAATACAGTAAAAACAGTAATATTGTGAAATGTTATTACGATTTAAGTATAGAAATAACTGTTTTCTATTTGAATATATTTTAAGATTTGATTTATTCCTGTGATGCGAAGCAGAATTTTCAGCATCATTACTCCAGTCTTCAGTGTCACATTTGCTTCAGAAATCATTCCAAAATGTTGATTTGAGAAACATTACTTATTATTGTCAATGTTGAAAACAGTTGTGCTGCTTAATATTTGTACGGAAACAGTGATAGTTTTTTTTTTATATATAATTAATTTGAACTATAAATCATTTGTAGCATAATTTTGTTTTACTGTCACTTGGGCCATTTAATAATGCTCAATAAAAGTATTAATTTTTCTCAGGAATTTTTTTGTGTGTGTGTGTATATATATATATATATATATTCATCTAAAAAATGGAGGAATTTCTCTTTTTTACAGAGATCTTCAGGTGTTTGAGGAGTTGTTCAGTTTCGCCTGCCCACACACACACACACACAGACGCACACATTATACATTGAAGTTATATATGTATGTACTACCATGGTAAGATATATTTTATGTTTTTGAAATAAGTCTCTTCTGCTCACCAAGGCTACATTTATTTGAAGAAAAATACAGTAAAAACAGTAATATTGTGAAATGTTATTACGATTTAAGTATAGAAATAACTGTTTTCTATTTGAATATATTTTAAGATTTGATTTATTCCTGTGATGCGAAGCAGAATTTTCAGCATCATTACTCCAGTCTTCAGTGTCACATTTGCTTCAGAAATCATTCCAAAATGTTGATTTGAGAAACATTACTTATTATTGTCAATGTTGAAAACAGTTGTGCTGCTTAATATTTGTACGGAAACAGTGATAGTTTTTTTTTTATATATAATTAATTTGAACTATAAATCATTTGTAGCATAATTTTGTTTTACTGTCACTTGGGCCATTTAATAATGCTCAATAAAAGTATTAATTTTTCTCAGGAATTTTTTTGTGTGTGTGTGTATATATATATATATATATATTCATCTAAAAAATGGAGGAATTTCTCTTTTTTACAGAGATCTTCAGGTGTTTGAGGAGTTGTTCAGTTTCGCCTGCCCCAAGTTCCTGTCACCCGTAGTTCCAAACTATGATAACGTTAATCCAGATTACCACAAAGAACCATTCCAGCAGCAGCTCAAGGTGTTTGCCGAGGAAGTGCAGCAGCAGGCGCAGCTCTCCACCATCCGCAGGTACAACACCAGCTTAGTAATGTTAAGGGCAGTTCTGTCTTCTGTTGATTGGACGAACAGGAATTGTAAGGTGTGTAATGAGCTCTCCTTCACTTTTAGCAATCATTCTCCTATTTCTAGGGCTGGCCATGGACTTTTAATTGACCATTCGGATTCCTGTTTTGTTATATTATTATTAAAGGGATAGTTCACCCAAAAATGAAAATTAGCCCATGATTTACTCAGCCTCAGGGCATCCTAGGCTTATCTGACATTCCTCTTTCAGATGAACACACCCGGAGCTTATGATGCGCCTTCAGCTACGCCTACGTCATACGCTTGAGCGCCTTGTCGTGAACGCACCTGCTTGAGCGACCAGAAGCTGGAGATTACAGTTTATACATTTTTAAAAATCGATCGGCTTCAAAAACAGTGGCACCATTCACTGCCATTATACAGCTTGGAAGAGCCATGACAAATTTTTTTTTTAAAAGATTTTGATCATTTTAAATCTTTATTTAAAATTTTGAACTTTTTTTTTTAACCTTTTAATCTGCCTATTAACAACTATTTATAATTATATTGCCCAGCCCAGCTGACAGCTGAATCTTCTATTCCCACAGCATGTGTAGAAGCATTGGATATTAGATAAGCTTTGAAATGTTCATAGCTGACTCCATGTGTCTCTGTCAGTTTCCTGAAGCTCTACACCACCATGCCTGTGGCCAAACTGGCTGGATTCCTGGACATGTCCGAGCAGGAGTTTCGCATCCAGCTGCTGGTCTTCAAACACAAGATGAAGAACCTGGTGTGGACCAGCGGCATCTCTGCTCTGGATGGAGAGTTTCAGTCTGCCTCTGAGGTCGACTTCTACATCGATAAGGTGTGTGTTGAGTTTCTGTCTTTAAACTAGAACTGCCAAATTGAACACTTATTTATGAGATTAAATATATGGCTTCCACAGTCATGCCAGTTGTCGTCTTATCTTTAAAATAATTTAATATTTAATAGGCTTAGATGTATTTTGTTTTACTGGTGAGATGACTTTGTGAGTCATTCTAAAAATGAATTTACTTGGTGTTCCATCAGGATATGATCCATATTGCAGACACCAAGGTTGCCCGTCGCTATGGAGATTTCTTTATCCGACAGATCCACAAGTTTGAGGAGGTACACATGCTTGAATAATTCATATTCAGTGAATTATTGAATAATATCATATAGCATTCATATACATATTCTGTAAATTACAGTTTATGGATCTATTTTTGAATTAAACATCTGTGTTTTCACATTTTGATTGTACCTTTCTTATCTTCTGTAGCTTAACCGAACGCTGAAGAAAATGCCTCTGACTGGTGCCCCTTCGAGTTTGACCAGCTCCACGTCACGTGCCACTTAATGCAGGTCCCACCAGAAGAACCAATCAAACCCTAATTTGATCTGACTGTGATATCCACCAATCACAGGCCAACCTTCTCAACCAATCAGGAACCTCCTCTGATACTCTTAAACCAATCGGAGGCCATTTCTGAACTATAATGTAGGCTCTTTCAGTTCATTTCACTGACTTGCTCTGGTCTGTCAAAAACAAGTGAAACTGATGGAAGTTCTTTTTTTCTTAGTCAATAAAGTTTGATGTGGCTGTAGTTTGGAGTCTTTTTTGAGTTTACATCTTAAAAACAAAGTTCTTTAATTATTCATAAACAATTCTTGCATTACCAAATTAAATTCAGTGACAATTTACATAATGGTTTTATAATGCTTATGTTTCAAAAATGAGGCTCTAAGCATCTGTATATACACTTATTTACATTTTACAAACATGAAGGCATGCTATTCTACTAGTATAAATGCCACTAGATGGCAGAAGAATCTTTGTATTCACAGGAGCATTTAAAACAATACAAAACTAAATTTTTCTTTCCATTTATTTTGGACAACTTTGGACTCACAATATATTCTCACAAAAAATACCTTTTGACAGCAGCGTTTTTTAATGGGTGTCAGGATTGTTTAACTTTTCCAGTTTGATATTAATACACTATTCAGTAAGTAACAGGACTTTTGAGATATTTCATTTTGTGTGTCATAAGGGCCACGTTATTCTCTTTAATATCCTGTTGCTGGGCTTCAATGCATAGAGGAATGCCGTCCTCATGATGACTCTTGCTTTGGTCAATATTTTATCATCTTCAGGACCTTAAGGCAAAACCGTTGCACATTTCCTTTATTCAAACAGGATCCACAGATTTTTCATCTACGGTCTCAACGCTGGTGACCAGACAATAACGACAAAAAAAAGGGGAATATAAAAATAATAATGCCTTACAACACACACCATTCAAATAATCCGGTATAAAATGTTGAAAAATAAATACACTTAAATACAACTATTTATACTTAACTCTGTTTGGTAAGTCAGCATTTTTCTTTTCCAAAAATATCTTTTGTAATCTTTATTTTTATATATCAAAAAGTAAAGGAAAATAAAGATATGGTATTTCCCCTTTAGGTGGCAGTGTTCTGTCAATGACTTGTATATTTTAACTTGTTGAATTT